GCTGCATGGCGTTGGCTGACAACTCTTCGCCGTGATGACGACTACTTTATCCATTCGCAGTTTCCACCAGAGGTCAAACGACCAAAGATGGTTCAAATCTTCCTTGGATGTCTGAGCGAACCAAACATGCTTTGATAATGTACTTTTTTTCACTTCCATTTCTTTTTGTTTTAAATAAATGCTTTCTAATTTCAGATGAAAGGGGTTCCTGTGGACGAGCTTCCAGAACATGAAAACATGCAGGTTGGTTTGAGTTACTTCTATTGCAACAGTTTGTATATAAACTGCCTGCATGGCATCGCCTGACAACTGTTCGCTGTGATGACGACTACTTTATCCATTCGCAGTTTCCACCAGAGGTCTAATGACCAAAGATGGTTCAAATCTTCCTTGGATGTCTGAGCGAATGTTGTCAAACAATAAGGAACTTTGCATTCCTCTGTACATGAGTTTGTTGCTTGGAAGTGATTAATTGATAGCACTACAAACATTTTATATATTTTGCAATCTGCATATGGAAAATGTACTCATTTTCAATATTTTATGTTTTGTTTAGCAAAACATTTAATTTGTACTGCTATCATTTTATTAATTGTAGAATTTGCAGAGGTCAAAGGTCAGTGAACATCAGTTCATACTGAAACAGAATTGCATATGAAAGTTGCTAATCTATGAATAATTTTAACCTGGGAAAATTCTAGCAGCACCAATGAAAACTTTTGCTGCACAAAGGTAGCACAGTTGATTGACACAAAGTGGACTTATTTTTTGCAAATGTGAGCAGGGCACAGGAGCTGTTGACCCCTGGAGTCTTCTAGACACCTTTGACCTCTAGAAACATTTCTTTTATCTTTAAAGTTTTTGCTCCACAAACGTAGCATGACTTTGATGCCAATTTTGTCTGGTTTGAACTTAACTCGGCTGCAACAGTGAGATTAAATGGGGCCCTTGGATATGAGGGCTGAACTTTAATTGAATCACCTTTTGTTTGAAGAATATAAAATGGGAACCGTTTAAAGGGGGTGATCTTGCCTTTCATGCTTTGTCTTATCAACAGTAAAGGAACCGTCTCGTGTTTTGATTCTTCCAGGTGGTGAGATGTTTGCAAGCTGCAGGATAATCCGGATCAGTGATGGAGGTTAATGGGTAGGTTTCTGTTTCTCTTCCCTCCAACGGCCAAAGATGGTTCAAATCTTCCTTGGATGTCTGAGCGACTTTAATTCTGGTTGTAAATCCTTCATCAGCAATGCGTGCTTACATTCTTTTTTTTTTTTTTTTTTTTTTTTTTTTTGTCAACAGGTGGATGGACTTCATTGGGCTCCTGTTATTCCTTTGGGATTTAACTACAGTCTGTTAATCCATAAAAAGGCTTAAAACTGGAAGTTTATGCACATTTTTTTTTTTTCTCCCACACTGTTTACATTTGGTCACTGAACTTTATGGAATAGAAATGTTACTTTACCACCTGAAAAGCTGCGCTAAACAATTATATATATATTTTTTTATACACTGTATACAAAATGGCAAAAGTTGACTTAAGTTTAATAATAAAACCAGTCTGAACAAACTTGAGTTTGCCTTGTTTTGTTCTTTTTCTCAAGACTTGGACCAGTGTTTTGGATGTATTAAATGGCTGAGCTTGGTTAACTGAACGTTCAGAAAGATTCATCACTCCCTGCATGGTGGCTTTTTCATCTTTGCTTCTACTCCCCAGATCTATGAGGGATAATACGTTTTATTCGACAATTTCCTTTAAGTGCAGCAAGATGAGACGAGTTTTCAAGCCTCTTTACTTATTTGAAGCTGAAATGCTGCTTTTATTGTTTCAAAATAAAATATTTAGCATGGTTCAAAATAAAATCGGGTCAATCTCAGCTGAACTATCCTAAAGCCATTTGTGTGAAGTTAAGAGACCAGGTGAACAAAACCAATCCTGTGGAATTTCATTGATCCAGGAGACAAGTTAAAACTGAACTTCATTTAAAATGAGGAATACTGGGTTTT